TTCTGAATTGGGTCTTTCAGTTTGGGGGGCCTGATTTTTTTCAATTCTTTATGTGTTCTAGCTATAAGTCCTTTGTCTAAGGGACAATTGGCTAAAATTTTTTCCTACTATGTGAGTTTTCTGTTGATGTGCAAAAACTTTTTAATAAGATGAGATCTCAGTTGTTGATTCTTTGAAGTACTTCTCTTGCAGTTTGGGTTTTGTTCATGAACTCTGCCTATCCCTATGTCTTCAAGATTCCTACTTAACTTTGTCCTCCATTATTTCTGTTTTAATATTTAGATCTTTGATCCATTTTGACCTTGGCTTAGTGCATGGTGATTAGTCTTCAGCAGGTGAAGAACCTGTTTTTCCAGTACCTGTTATTAAAGAGACTATATTCCAGTGAAAGTGTTGGCTCCTTTGTCAAAGACAGGGTGGCTGAGTGTGTTTGGGGCTGTGTCTGCATCTTCTGTTCTGCTCCAGTGATCATCAGGCCTGGGTTTTTTTGTTTTTGCCAATATCATGTTGATTTTATCAGTGTAGTTTTGGGGCATAATTTCAGGTCATATTGTGATGCCCCCTGACTTGTCTTCATTGCCCAGGATTGATTTTGCTATTCTAGTTTTTTTTCTGGTTCCAATGAATTTTAGGAGTGTTTTCTCTGGATCTGTGAGGTATGTTAATGGTATTTTGATTGGGATTGCATTAAATCTGTATAGTGGTTTTGAGAGTAAGACCCTATTCACTATGTTGGTTCTTCTTATCCAAGAGCAAGGGATAGCTTTCCATTGTGTGATATCTTCTTCAAACTCCTTTCTTAGGGCAGTGTAATTTTCACAGATCTTTTACTTCCTTCATTAGATTGATTACTAGGTATTTTCGCTTTGGGGGGTATTTTCGTGAAAGGCATGCTTTCCCTAAATCCTCTGTGAGTTTGTTGCTTGTGTATAGGAATGCTATTGACTTTTGAGTGTTGACTTTTTACCCTGCTACCTTACTGAATTTGGATATTAAATCTTCAATTCTTTTGGTGAAGCTTTTAGAGTCTTCTTTGTAGAGTATCATGTCATTTTCAAATAAGGATAATTTAACTTCTTCCTTTCCTATCTTTATTCCTCTTATTTTTTTCTCTTGCCTAATTCCTCTGGCTGATGTTTCCAGAACTATATTAAATAGGATGATGGTAATGGACATCCTTGTCTTGCTCCTTCAAATTTCTTAAAAAAAGAAATATAATCCGATTGTGTCACTTCCACTAACCATGACAGTCTTTATGACTTTCTGTTGCCTGTAGGATAAAATCTAAAATACTTGGCACAACAAGTACTTTATAGCCTGTTCCTAAAAGTAACTTATAATCTTTTAAAGGGCAGAATATAAATCTTAACAATTTCAGTATTGCCACAGCAGAATATTTGAGATGTCACAGAATTTTAATAATTGCTTGTTGGATGTGAAAATGAAATAAAAGAGAAACTTCATCCACACTGAACCTGAAGAGGCTCTCATTGTCTTACAAACAGGAGCTAACGAGAGGTTAAGGACTTGGAGGGAAAAGATGATTAAAGTATGTGATGTGCATGTATACATATGCCAAAACAAAACCCATTAATCTGTATAACCAGTATGCCCCAGTAAAAAATGTAGAGAGGAGGTAGAAGTAAAAGACAAAAGCTTTTGAGGCAGGCATGATGCTGTATACCTATAATCCGAGCACTCTGGGAGGCAGAGGAAGGAGGATTCCAAGTTTGAGCCCAGCCTGGGCAGTTTAGCAACTGAGCGAGACTCTTTTTCAAAATACAGAAGGGCCAGGATATGTGTGAAGGGCCTGCGTTCAATCCCCAGTAAGGCCGAGGTGCCATCCTGGAGGCTGGACTGGGTTCAGGACCTCTCATGTGCCTGGTTGTGGCTGTTGCCTCACCTGTGAAGTGGTGGTGGTGTGGTGGTGTGGTGGTGTTGGTGGTGGGGCTTTGAGAATTAAAAGTAGTGCATATTTCATAGTCCCTAGAGCAGTGCAGTAATTTTAAGCTATCATTAGATGTGGAATGTATGTTTTCATTTTTCATTTTTATCGGTACCGGGGATTGAACTCACGACCGCCTGCTTGCAAGGCAGGTGCTTATGCCACTGAGCTAAATCCCCAGCCCCGGAATGTATGTTTAATGAATAATATCACAGTAATTGTTCTACACCATTGTAAGAAAATAACAAGGCACTGGAGTAGCTTAAATGTTCTTGCTGCAATACCTCACCAAGCTGATTCCTCTTAACAGCAACAATATCGTCATTCATCTCCTATTTGATTACCTGTAAAAGGAACTGCCTGTTTTTCTCTCTGTTATTTTTATTAGTTTGTTGTTATTTTTCTTGTGATTCATTCTATCTTTTAGAAAGTGTGACTTTTAAGATATGAGTAGTACAAAAATCAGTAGCCCTCCTCTACAAAAAGTAACAAACTCACTGAGAGAAGTCAGGGAAACACAATACCTTTCAAAATAGCATCCAAAAAGATGAAATATCTAGGAATCAATCACAAAGGATGTAAAAGATCTCTACACTGGAAGTTACAGTATCTGAAAAAGGGGATTGAAGAGGATATTAGAAAATGGACAAACATCCCATACTCTTGGATATGGGAGTACCAATATAGTGAAGAACCAATGTAGTGAAAATGACCATACTTCCAAAACTGTTATATAGGTTCAATATGATCCTTGTCAAAATTCCAATAGCATATCTCACAGAATTAGAGAAAACCTAAAATTCTCTTCTGAAGCCAGAAAAGACCTAGAATGGCAAAAGCAATTGTGGACATCAAAGACAAGACAGCGGATATCACAATACCTGACTTAAAATTACACTATAAAGCTACTGTGATAAAAACAGTGTGGTACTGGCAAAAAACAGATCCAAAGATCAGTGCAATAGGTTAGAAGATGCAGAAATAACTCCAGACACACTAAGCCACCTTATCTTTGACAAAGGTGCCAAACACATTCACTGGAAGAAATATAGCCTCTTTAATAAATGGTGCTAGAAAAACTGGCTCTACATGTGCCAAAGATTAAAACTGGACCTATGTCTTTCACTATGTACTAAGCTAAACTTATAATGTATCAAAGATCTAAATAGTAAAACAGAAACATTAGATCTGCTGGATAGAGTAGGTAGGGGCTGGGGATTTAGCTCAGCGGCATAAGCACCTGCCTTGCAAGCAGGTGGTCCTGAGTTCGATCCCCGGTACCGATTAAAAAAAAAAAAAAAAAAAAAAAAAAGAAGATAGAGTAGGTAAAACTTTTGAAGACATTGATGTAGGTAAAGACTTTATGAACAAAACTCCAATTGCACAGGAACTATCACAAAAGAATCAAAAACTGGGATCTTATCCTATTGAAAAGCTTTTGCACAGCAAGAGAAACCACCAGCAGAATGAAGAAACAACCCACAACATGGGAGAAAATGTTTGCCAGCTGTTCCTGAGACAAAGAATTACTATCAAGAATATATAAAGAACTAAAAAAAATAATAATAATCAGTCTCCCAGATTTAAAGACTTAATCCAAAAATAGACATCTGGGATGAATATAAACTTCTCAGATGAAGAAATACAAACAGCAAATAAATATGTGAAAAAATGTTCAGTGTTGCTGGTCATTTGAAAGATGCAAATTAAAACAACACTGAGATTCCACTTCACCCCAGAAAGAATGACCCTTAGCAAGAAATTAACCAATAACAAATACTGGAGAGGCTGTGAGGAAAAAGGAACCCTTCTCCACTGCTAGTGGAAATGTAAACTGGTACAACCACTATGGAAATCAGTGTGAACATTCCTCAAAGACATAAGATTGACCTAGCTAGTGCCCTTGTGGGTATTTTTCCAGAAGAATTAAAAACATCACACAATTAAAAACACCACAGCAATGCATGTGCACCCATGTTTGTAACAGCACAATTTCTAATAGTTAAATCTTAGAAACAATGTAAAAGCCCATTGACTGAGGAATGGATAAAAAAGATGTGATATTTTTATATAGTAGAGTCCTATTCAGCCGCAAAGAAGGATAAATTTGAGATTTTTCGAGGTAGATGGCTGCAACTTGAGACTACTCACAAGTGAAATAAATCAGAAACGTAAGTGTAAATATTGTATTGTCTTACTAATGTGAGAAGCAGAAAGAAACAACGTATATATGTAGTTTAGATAGTATTAAGATAGTTATAGTACTGATTTCTCTGAGTTCATTGAAGAGAAAGGTTTGTGCTAGTATAGTTTGAACTGATTTGAAGATAACAATACACAAAGTATATACCATTGTTACTCCCTAAATATTGTGTTTTGAAGGATTTTTTTCCTCCTCTTTAAAAATAGTTTGAAAAACAAAGTATGAATAGTGTAGCTAGGCAGCCATGTGTGGTTCCCTTACAGAGTGTAGGGGAGGGGACACATGGGCCTTCAGCGGAGTTGCTGCTACAGTTGGGTCAGTTGACTTTTTAAAAGGCAACTGCAGCTTTATGTGCACTTGTAGGAAATATGCAGAGAGATCCCATGAACGTCACTGCACAGGTTTTAAAGTCTTGTAAGTAATAAAGTTTATATTTGTTCTCTGCATAACTGGTGTAAAACTGCAGATAGAAAGTACTTTAATGAATTTAGAAGGGTGAGATTACTCTGCCTTGTAGCAGTGGCAAATGAAGTTTTGACATAGGTGTCCATGTTGAAGCCAGACCTCCAGGCACAAGTACAGTTGTCTTAGGTTGCAAATGAAAGGAGAGAATGAGAAGAGCCAGGGCCAGTAGGCGCTTGAACCTGGCCGCCTCAGGGAGAGCGGTAAATACTGCTGACTGCTGGACTGTGTACTGCCTGCAAGTCGGCTTTCTTGCCACAAGTCTTTAGCACTCCAGTATTTACAGTCTTTCATTAGTCCAAGGTCTCATTGTGCATATCCTGTTTTTGATGTAGAATGCTTGGATTCTGAGAGTCTGAGTTACTGATGTGGTTTTCCTTGTGTTTTCAGAATGACAGTCGGGACCGGCAGGAGCAGGGTGATAGACGGAGACCGGGCAACCCCCAGCCAGTATCTAATGGCCGGCCCCAGGGGAACTCTCGGCAGGTGGTGGAACAAGATGAGGAGGAAGATGAGGAGCTGACGTTGAAATATGGTGCCAAACATGTCATCATGCTCTTCGTCCCTGTGACCCTCTGCATGGTGGTGGTTGTGGCTACCATCAAATCAGTCAGCTTTTATACCCGGAAAGATGGGCAACTGTACGTATGAATGTTTTGTTCCCAAGGGCAATTTCATTACCACCTTGAAGGCCTCTGTGCTGGTGGAATCAAGTGAATGGGGGTATTTACTTCCTTTAAGTGAGCGCTGCACAATTATTTCTTGAAGGTATCATTGGATAGAAAATTTATTTGGAATGGAGCAAGTTAATAACTTTTCCCTCATCAGGGCAGTGGGTCATTATTGTGTTATTTTGTTTTCCTGAACAAGGCTGGGTCATTAATAGAATCAAAGGAAAAACTGAAAAAATCAAGTCTTAGGACAGGAAACAGGATAGTGTCCAAGATCTCAGTAAGAATCTTCATGGAATAGACCCATTCCAATGTGTTTCCCTGTGAGATACAGATTTCTAGAAAGAGATTTTTGATTATGCTTGTCTTGGTCATGTACCTACACTTGATATCACTATGATTGACACACATGCAGTATGTCTAGAATCACTTACTGGTTCAAATCACACATGACCAAAAAATAAAAGTACCCCACACTAAACACAAATGTCAGTTAATCCTACAATGTGCATTGTAGGTAGTATTATCTCCATCTTACTAATGGCAAAAATTGAAGGCTAGAGAGATTAATAACATTCCCAAGTTTATAGAACTAGAAAGTGACCTTCATATGTCTAATGATTTCTCTTGGGTTGGCCCTAAGGCTTCTTTTTTCTAAATTATTAAATTTTCATTAGGTCGTTGTTGCTGCTATTGTTTTTATTAATACATATTTTCAGTACATAATGATCACATTCGTCATAGGGATTTGTACATGTACATAAAACTTTTTTTTTTTGGTACTAGGAATCGAACTCACCACTGTACACTTGCAAGGCAGGCGCTTATGCCTCTGAGCTAAATCCCCAGCCTCAAAACATCTTAATTCTTTTAGAGCCCATTTTTTTGGTTTTGGTTTGTTTTCTGAGATATTATATAGTGCAGGCTGGCCTTGAACTTGCTTGTGTAGTCCAGGCGATCTTCCTGCCTTAGCTGTAATCCCCAGTACCAGGATTACAGGTGTGTGCTTCCAGTCCCAGCTCAGCCTGTTCTTTTTCAGCTGTCACATTTTGCAAGTATATTTATTTATATATTTATTTTTGCACCCGGGGTCAAATGGGGATCAAATTCGGGACCTCATGCTTACCAGGCAGGCACTTACACCACTGAGCTAAATCCCTAACTTATTTACATTTTTGAATGTGTGGTCTCCTCATTTTCTGTAAGGATGGGGGAAGCGTATTTTGTCTCCAAGCATGAGATATAGATGAATGGGAATAAAAAAAGAAAGTTGTTAATTGAAAGGATGAATAACTAATGGAAATCGGCTCTCTCTAAACTTGAGAACTACTGTGTGGGTTCTTGGTGCTATTGGTATTAGTCCTAGATATCTTAGAAAAATGCTCTAATCCAGATGTCCATCTAGTTTTGTCTTAGGAGATAGAGTTTTAATAAGAATTTTAAGTGAAATTTAAAAGATAAAGTTGGAAAGTATCTCAAAAACTTCCTGATGTTCCGAAAGCTAAGCCCTGGCTAAGACATGACTGAAGGACAGGGGTTAGGGACAATAACTACCCACATACGGGTGAGGTTTGGCTGCCTGATACAGGACAGGCTTGGCAAGCTGTGGCCCAGGGGCCTTATCTGCTGTCTCCTGTTGTGATAAAATCACCTGAACCATGACCATGTCCATTTGTTTATATTTTGTCTATGGCTGCCTTTACCCTATAGAGGCAGTGCTGAGTGATTACAAGGGCCTTGTAACCCACAAAACTTAAAATATTTACCACCTGGCCCTGTATAGAGTCTCCTGACCCTGTTACAGAAAATCAGAACAGCTGCTTTGACTGAAGACATACCCATTTTCCTTCTTCCTACTGAGCAGTGAGGAGCTAGGCCGCCCATGCCAGTGCATCAGCTATGGTCATCAAGGACTGTCTCTTCTTTCTCCTTTGACTCTTGTCCTCTAAATTGCCTCAAGGTCTACACTGGATCCAGCCTTCATCTGGACAGCAGGGAAGAAAAGGATACAGGGCAGCTCTAATAGAAATGCTTTTTTCTGGCAAGTTCCTTATGCAGCCTGTCTGCTTATAGCTCTTTGGCCGTTAGTTAGTCTCACGGCCATGCTTAACTATGCGGAAGGCAGAAGTAAAACCTTTTGGCTGAGACTGGCACCTAGAATAAAGATATTTAATGTGAGAGAGAAACAAAGGGAAGATCGCTGTCAAAACAACTTGAATTGGAAGCACTCTACAGATGAAAGACAGTAATTGTAAACCATAGTTTGTTTCTCAGACCCACTAATCAGCCTAGGTAGTTTATGCAGCAAAGTATTGTTAATCTAGCAGATTACTAATACGTACATTGTGAAGAAAACTTTTGGTGAGGTAATTATTTCAACTTAAGGCATCCACTAGATGGAGCCAGTGCCTGGCTCAGAGATAAGTTCATCTCCCTGTCCTAGACACTTTTTGAAGTATGTTGGAGTGTAACTATTTTTCTTAGTTTAAAAATTCTTAGACTAATGAAATGGGGAAAAGCGACTGTGTCAGTTTAATAAAACAAAACCAAATTATGGTGTTGGAGACAGTAAGTCATTTGGAATACGTGTTAACACTTACACAGGGCTCTGTTTTATGTTTCATTGTAGAATCTATACCCCATTCACAGAAGACACGGAGACTGTGGGCCAAAGAGCCCTCCACTCAGTGCTGAATGCCGCCATCATGATCAGTGTCATTGTGGTCATGACCATCCTCCTGGTGGTTCTGTATAAATATAGGTGCTATAAGGTAAGCCTGAGACACAGCCAGGCTTTCTCCCTGTTCTGTTTATGCTTGGGTTTTCCTGTCACATATCTTACTTGGGGGGCTAGTAAAGAACAAAGGTTTTATATTTCAGACCTAGTTCACGTTTTGTTGTCCTCCCTGTGACTGGTGGAGTATTTTTAAAATACAAAAAGGCATAAATGGAGAACAAATATTTTCATGTGTACTTAAGATTTCCTAAAGGAATATATACCCTAAATCTTTGTATATGCCTTCATTCACAGATAGTACCATACAGTATAATTTTCCCCATAAAATATTTTAAAATTCAGATTCTCATATTTGAGGGCGGAACAATAAAGCCACCTTCAGATGCTTGTATTAAAATACATTGGTGACTGGCCATGCCTTGCTTCTAAACTGTAGCCATCCATCTACACAGATCTCTTCGTGGTAGCCCTGCTTCTTTCTTTGGGAGGTGAGGGAGGCGTACAGAAAAGGCACAGGCCCAATCGCCACCCTCTCTTCTACTTGTCACTTGCTAAGTGACTCACTCCCGAATTCTAGCCAACTGGCACGTTTCAGACTCAAGCTCCAAAAAGTTGCAAATTATAGTTATAAACCTTTGCAGTCATTCTCAAGTATCAGAAATTATGTTAACTTCCCAAATAATAGAGTCTACTTTATTTCTAAGTATTTTTCTAGTGTATTTTTAAAATATGGTTAAAATTCATGGTAATCAGTATGTGCTGTTCCTTAGCTTTTACTTCAGCATAAGTGTTTTTTCTGTGTTATAAATTCTTAGAATATAGGGCCAGGGATTTAGCTCAGCAGCACAAGTGCCTGCCTGGCAAGTGCGAGGTCCTGAGTTCAATCCCCAGTACCTAATATATCAATAGAAAATATTTTTATGGCTACATAATATTTGACTCAATGAGTATATTGTAAATATGTCTTCTGATTTATATTGGACAGTTTGTTCCTGGTTGTTGGCTGTGATAAAAAACAATGATGTCTTTATGCATGGAACTTTCTTAGTAATTTTCTTAGGGTAAAATACAAGACATGGTATTTCTGGAGCAAATTAAACCTGCATTTTTGACTCTCTTAATATACAAACTTCTTTTTTCAAAAAGATTGTATCAATTTGTGTGTAACACCGGTAATGAATAGGAGTGTCTGTGTTACCCCACCTTCACAACATTGAGGTTTTTCTGTCTTGGTTTTTTGTTTTTTTGAGACAGGGTCTTGCTGTATAGTTTAGGCTGGCCTTGAACTCACAGTAGAACCTAGGCTGGTCGTGAACTCAGTCAGCTTTCTGCCTCAGCCTCCCCAAGTGCTGGGATTATAGACATGTGTCACCATACCTGGTGAGTTTTTTCGGATGGTGGTAATTTTCTTTTTTTGAGTCAGGGTTTCACTATGTAGCTTAGGCTGGCCTTGAACTCACTTTGTAGCTCAGGCTGGCCTCAAACCTGCAGTGATCCCCTGCCTCAGCCTCCTAAGTACTGGGATTACAGGGGTGTACCACCATGCTGGCTTACATGGTGGTAAATTTTATTGATGGAAAAAAGTCTTACTTGCATGTAGTTGATTACTTGTTAAGATAGGGTATTTTCTTAATTCTTACAAACTCTAAAATGATATAGAGCTTAACCTCGCTTGTTGAACCTGTTAAACTTGTGAGTGGGTGGAAGATTTACCCTAAGGGATCATCTGTGGGCTGCCATTATCACATAGGGAGAAGATGAAAGGCATGTATGATAACAGGTCCTCAGCACTCAAGCCAAATTGTAAATGATTTAAATTCTTTCTGCTTCTTACTTTATTTTATTTTAAAGAGAAAAACAGAAAAATCAAAAAGCAAACAAACCTGAAAAACAGCAAAAGCAATAACAAAACCAACAATATCTATATAGGTTTTCAAGATAGTAGGAATTTATAAATGGTTGTTATACTGCATATTGTTATCTTTAAAATAGTTGCTCAGGTTACCAGATACGGGAGTAAAACAAAAACAGTAAAACAGAAGCAAACATTGGATTTCAAAAACAAGACAGAAGGAAATCCCCCAAGGTTGCCACAGTGCACACTGCCCGCCTCCAAATAGATGCCCAGACCATCAGCCTCAGGCCTGCAAGTCAGTCAAACAATATAAGCATCAAGCGTGCCTTTCACCTCAGTTGCTGTCATCTCCAAGTCAGCCAGTTGCTTGGGGGTAAGGGGGTGCTGCGCACGGCTGGCTCATGGGAAGGTGTGCTTTTTCTTCTTCCCTTTGTCTGCTTTGAATATGCTCTTAGTTTTCTTGATTCTTCTTATCACCAGCTGAACTTTATCAGTGTCTTCAAGTATTTACCTGCTGGTTCCAATTCTCTACTTCATTAGAGTCAGTTTCTGACTTTTATGTGAATTGTATGCTATTTTGTTCTTTTTCAGATTTTATTAAGGAATGAATGTCTACTTTTTCTTTCTTTAATCTAGAATTCACTGTCTGCTTTTCATTTTCAAGATGCCCAAGTCATTAGATAGATGGTACTCTAAACTTAAGATTGTCTCAATTCGTTTTCCTAAGAACCTCAGAAATTGTTTATTTTTATGTGTTTTTTTATTTTCAAATAAAGCACCATCTCTAAACTACCTCTTCTTCTCTGCTTTTAAATGTGGATGAGTTTCCCATTGAGAGGACAGTGTATTACACCACACAAACCATTTCTGCCTTGTTTCATTTAATCTCCTCACGGTTCTGTGAAGAAGCCCTGCTGTTACCCGTGTTTTACAAATGGGAAACAGGTAGCAGCACACAGTTACATAGATTAGAAGCTGATGGGTCAGGATGGGGCTCTGAGCCCAGAGTTTGGCCCGAACTGACACAGCTGGTACATGAGACTCGTCTCAGCTCCAGTTCTCAGTGCCCTGAAATGTGGTCTCTGTCCTCGTGGCACCATAGAAACTGCTTATTGTGTGGTTGCCAGTACTTCCCTTGGTCATATCTGCTGACTTTTTTTAAACTTAATTTCTCTTTATTGCCTTTGGCTTAAAGCCATTGCCCTCTTCTGCTTGACATTGTTTCTTTCTTTTTTGCCTTTGCTTCTTCCTCAGTCCTCTTCAGAGTTTCTCCTAAAGCATCCTCAGTCTTGAGCCTCTGACATTTGACTTTGTGGAAAAGTGTATGTGGATAAAGTTTGCACCCTCAAATACAGCTTTTATGCTAGAAGTCTCTGCTTATTAGGCCCATGGTTAGTTGATTCTTTTTTCCTTCATGTATCAACACCTGTCAGATAATCTGTTACCACATAAGTTGAACTAATTATCTTTTATGTCATCCCCTTATCAGTAGGTGTACTTGTCTTAATTTGGGGCCTTCTTGCTCTTAATTTTGTAATCATTGCCATCTATCATACCCATTATTATTATCCATAATTGTCAGTTACTTTTTTTCTTCATGTCTAGAATTTCTGATGATGGCTCTTTCTGCACAGTTCCTTAGCTTGATTTCTTAGCTGACCTTATAAACCAGCAGTGGTGAATGTATGGCATGTGTTCTACTGTGGGCTGTTTGTATCGCTGAAAGCTCTAAAAAGTTCAATATCTCTATCAAAATAGTAGGGCTAGTGATACAGTTCAGAGCAAGATGTTGCCCAGCATCGGTGAGGTCTTTGGTTCAGACCCCAGCATTGCAAAAACTAGTAATAATAATGGGAGGAAGAGAGAAGTCACTGTTAAAAAAAAATTCATACTGGGTAGAACTATACATGTCGGAGTTATCTCCCTAACTCCCATTACCCAGATCGACCTCTGTTAATAGTTCAGTGGATACTTTTTTTTTTGTCTTTTTTGTTTTTATTGGTACCAGGGATTGAACTCTCAACTGCCTCCTTGCAAGGCAGGCACTTATGCCACTGAGCTAAATCCCCAGCCCCAGTGGATACTTTTGTTTTGTTTTGTTTTTGATTTTTATTTGAATCCTAATACATGCACATTTTTTTCAAGAATAGAAATTGAAGTTGTGGATATAGCTCAGTGGCATAAGCGCCTACCTGGCAAGCACGAGATTGTGAGTTTGATCTCTGGTACCAATACAAAACTACAAACAAACAAACAAACAAACAAAAAACCCAGAAATTGAGGCATATTAAATCTCCTGTTTTATAATAATAATTCTCCCATCTCCTTCCTTTTCTAATTTAAGAGTATGTTTAGAACTCTCTTTATCTCAGGTGGTTTTCTTCAAATATTACTAACTATATTTCTAGAATTTCTGTTTGGTAGGTGTTATTTGTTGGTTTTTATTTTTGTGGTAACTGGGAATATTTGGTTGTTTTACAATGTTTGAATATTTTCACTTTCCTTGCTCATATTTTAAAATTTTTTTCTTTGACTGTATATATATATTGTTGTTGTTGTTGTTGTTGTTGTTCTATATCCAGTCATTTTAGTATCTGAAGTTTTAGGAGAGCATAATTTTATTGACTTTACTCATAGTGACTTGTTTCCTCTAGCTTTTTATGATCATTTCAAGTTTATATTTGCTAAAGTATAGTTTTAGAGATTTTGTGAAGCCTGGCTTTTTTTGCATGGACCCTGAAAATCCCCCTAAAATCCAGAATCATTGAAGGCTGGCATATACCTTAAGCTGCCTGATGACTTCGTACCACCTAACCCCCTGATTCCTGCTTCCCTACTTTTTTTTGGTGGTGGTGGTGGGGTTAGCTCTAAACATTTCCCTCCTCCTTTGGGCCTCGATCTATATATTTCAAAGTATATTTAAAATATTTCATATTATGTATGTTTTATTGTGAGAAAGTTTTCAGAATCTGATGTCCATATTACTAGAACTCTCTTTTAGTTACTTCAGTGTTTTCCAGTTTACCAATGAAATTAAAACCTATACTTGTGGGGGGAAGATGTACAATTGTAAACTGAAGCACACATGTTAAGAGCATGATCACTGCATCCTCTCCTCGCCCCAGTTTACCGCCTTGCTGCTCATCTAGAATGAGCTCTCGCCCTTCCTGCTCCACAGT